TATCCCATTAGTGGACCCAGAATGATCAAGATAACAATCCAAAAGGCGGCTAAGAGAATGTTTTAACTACAAAAAGGCTGATTCTTGTATCTAAATCTCCAAACATATGCCTTGAAGAAATACTTTCAATAACGTTTTTTCTAAGTGTGAACATCGCTTTTCTAAAACAACAATTACTTGCACGTCCTCGACAGACGTAGCTTTCCAGCACGAGAGGTAAGGTCTAATCGTATTTCCACATTTTTGTTCAAACAGATTCACTGCGCCCTTCTCTCAGGATGACTTCCCTGTCGAGTTCACAATCCGTGAACGAGTGTACTTTGAAGCCCGTGTCGACACCATTGACACAACATTGTCAATTTTAGCCTTGGACTGCTATGCCACCCCCTCTCAGGACAGGAATTCCCAGCCCAGATATGATATTATTAAAGACGGGTGGGTATTTTTCATGATGTAAATTTCACCCGTCATTATGCACCATACGTCCAGCAAGCTTGTCTAAAAGTAATGGACTTTATAGAGCTTTTCAAGTTTTGCCTCAAAAAAAATCCATCGCCATTTGAAAGTGACGGAGACTAGGTGACACTTTTCCGTATCATGAAAAATTGTGCATGAGAAGAATAACTGATTTCTCGTAACATTTGTGGTTTATAACAGCAGGTACCTTTTTTTTTAATTTTATTTATTTTTCCTCGATAAAAACTACAACCCGCAACTTGTCCACTGGGGGAAAGGCAAATCCACACCATTTATCCTTTTACTAGTTTCATGGAAGAGTGCTAATATTCTTCCCTCCATTTCTTCGATAAAATATTCGTTGATTCATTGAAACCAATCACAGGGCGTGTATCTCTCCAATCAATCGAACTATTTTCTCATGAAGTAATCAAACGACGATGGCCTGTAAGTGCCATTTTACATGAATGAAAAAAAAATTGGATCGTGTTGTTTAAGTCATTACAAAGGATCCAAAGTTACCTTTACAAACTTTGGATCCGTGGTTCTAAATTTGGATCCTTAGTTGTAACTTTTGTCTTTAGTTGTAACTTTGGATCCTTAGTTATAGCTTTAGGTTCTTAGTTATAGCTTCAAAACTAATATCCACTGTTTTTCATTATTTAGAATGGCGCTTAAAGGCCACCGTACAAAACTGAACCTCAGAAGTTATTAGTAAAGAGAAAAGTAAAAACTTTATCAAGAGAAGTGACTCGTGAGAGTTTTACCCTAGAACTAGTGGCCGTCAAAATTTACAAAACTAAGCCTACTTTATTACTTTCTCAGGTGTTCGGTCGACGATGATGACACACTTCAATTCCACGACAGCCCCGGCAACCAGTCTCAGCGCTGGAGCCTTGAGGCCTTTCAATATGTCAGCAAGCACCCGTATGTGTTTTTTCATTGCCAGGTTCAGGTCTGTGACGCCGCAGATCCTGCCTCAAGGTGTGCCCAAGGCTGCATACAGAGAAGACGAAGAAGCGAGAAGGTCCTTCATGACAACCCGGATGACATATATGCTTTGGCCCAGGGTCCTCTCGCACTGAACCGCGATAAGAGGGAGGCAGAAGTCGATGAAGCGGTTGCCTTGGATAAGAGCACGCTCAAACTCAAAACAGGCGAGTATTTGAAGTAAACACATTGTAACATTTGGATTTACTAGCAGAGAGGTGAAGATTTATCTAGACAGAAGACCAAAATATATTTTAAATCGAGAAAAAGTATTATTTGGCAGATGGTTTTAGCTCAGGAGTTACAGTTGATTGTGTTCGTTAATCTTTTAGGTGAGAGAGGTCCTAAAAACAGCTGCCATCGATTCATGAAAATGATATGAGCTTAGGGTGTTGATAAGTAACTCTTTGTCAAGGACGAAACTCCGTTGTAAGACTACTCTAATCCGGATGATTAGACAAACGAGCAATCAGTTTCCCAATAACTGGCTTGAAACATCACCACAAGTGTCTCTCATTATGTTTAAGGTCCACCCTCCTCAGACGAGGATCTAACACGATCAAGCTAATCTTGACTTTCTCACTTTTCCTTCATCAGGTTTCCACGCGCCTGTTTTAGCCTCGCTGGGTGTGCTTATCGTATTGTGCTTAATGGGGATGATATGGCTGAAGGTCACTTCGAACAAACAGAGAGTCGCAAAGCAGTTCATACCACTTTACGAGGACCTGCAGAAGTGATAACGTCAGAGAATTTTCCGACCTCAATTGCTCAGTGTTGATGCTGTTCTTGTTAAAATGTATGTCTCTCTGTAACCACTTTAGGATGGATTTCATACTTCATCCGACAAGAAATATGTAATTTTGTATTTTTTTACTGTCTTCTTTTGAATAATTATCGTGAAAAAATCAAGATATCATTTTTTTTCTCCGGAGATATTTTGCCTTATAGGATAACTGTAATATTGAGCGCACCCTGATGAATGCAAAAACCAACGTTTACTAACACTGGAAGACCCATAGTTGCTTCTTAAAAATTAAAAAAATGCTCTTCCTATCACTTTACGGAACTTATAACTCACTTGGTATTTAGATGGATCGAAAACCCCAATTTGTAAGAGCTGCGCAATAAAAAACATATTTACTCAAAGTCTACTCAAGGACTTGTCCGTGAAAGGTCCCTAAACAATCTCACTAAGTGGCTGAGTGGAATAAAAGAAACACAGAATATTCAATAACGGAAAGAATCATTAAGCGGTTACATACCTTCAGCTATAAGACTTTCATGCTCGTCACGGATCCTGTATTTGGAGCGTTCATCTGCAGTTAATTAAATTATTTAAGTATTTGATAGAATATCATTTCTAAGGATCGTTAAAAATGGTAATCTGAAACCACAAAATGCTCATTAACGCGTTAGTTGTCTTTAAAGCCACGTCTCATGAGCACAATTCTTGACGGCGAGTTTCTTATTGTCAGAGCTCCTCACAGTGGATGCACAGTACATAACAGCAAGGCGCATGAGGTTTGATATAAGGAAATTTTCAAGAAAAGTTTCAACAAATCAAGAACGGTAGTTAACGGCAAGGATACAGTACAAATTAGTACAGCTGCATAGGCCATACTGCACAACTTAGCAGTCGACGCCCTTTGCAAATCTCTCCTTCTGCTCAGGCTACGATCTCTAACACTTAAAAGGGGAACTTTAACGGGAAAGAAAAATAAAAAATGCCAAATATAAGCCCGGAAAAAGTGAATCCATGAGAGGGGAATATGTAATTATCACACAAGTAGATTAAAATGGATTTTAATGACCGGTAGTGCTTCTGTCACTATTCTCCTCAATCTGTGCACGAGGGTCCAACAAATCCTTCATCAAAAGACCACCACTGAGACTGAAATGGGAGGTTAAGGGGACTCAAGTAAAAAGCAATAGTATATCCATAAGATTAAAAATACTCAAAGCGTGCGTTGATTGGCCAGCAGAAGGTGACTAGCATGTATTATTCACCTCCAAGCTGCTAGAGAGACGAAATCGCGCGTCCAGAGTTTAGTATATGATCACGTGTTGTATTTTGACAGAAATGGACGAGACATTTGTGAGTCAACTACTTTAAATTTCCAACTAACGTTGTGCTGCGTCGACTGGATATGACTATTATTGTCGTTTCAAAATTTGAAATATCAATTTTTTCCGTTTGTAATCCGCTTTCGAGGGGGTTGTGCTCTTGTCCATACTTCTCTTTATGATTGACTTGACCATTGGTGACGTACAAGCTAAACACGAAGTGCATGCATGACTTTGTCAAAGGACGGACTTTTAAAACCATTCATGATTTTTGTACCAGTGTAGCATCTGAGGTGAAGAAAAACAAGAATTACATAATGGACCATGGAGGTGGCCACGATCGCTTTTTGTTTTGCTGCATTGTCGGCACCTCTACACGCTTGCACCATTTGCCGCGTCGTAAAATTGTCGTTTTGCTTTTTTTCTCCCTCTCGAAAATTTCCCCCTTCTAAAGGCGGTGGATCTATGAAATCTCTGCAACTTCACCGTAAATAACTCTCGTATTCAGTACGGTCAGTATAGAGAAATCTATATTGACCGAAATGTAAAAGAGAAATAGGCACATGGTGTGAAAATTACCTTTACCACTTCTCATTGAAGTTGGTACCTATAGCTATCATTTGAAGCGGTGAAACACCATAAGTCTGAAGCGCAAGAGTCTGTTCCAATGTGGCGTTTTGTAGAACACGAGATTAACCAATCAGAATTGACTTCATAAAGTCCGCGAATGTTAAATGATTGGAAATCCCTATCAACAACCTTAAAAAAAAAAATTAAAAAAACCCGCTCCAATACTCCCTATAAGGAAGATAAATTTTCCGCTTAGGGAAGCCGGTAAATTGAATGTTCTTCGTAAGTAGACAAAGCCAAGATAGATTAACATGCTGTCCAAACTACAGTAAACTACAAAGCATTGGGCTGATTACTTGAAGAGATGAAAAGTGTTACTCTGCCGCACAAGCAAAGTTCTAAATAAAATATATATCACGTGTTCACTAATACAAACCACCAAACTTTCAGCCTGTCAGTGCCTTCCCCCTTCCAAATGAAAGCAAGTGAAGCAAAGTCTTTCGCAATACTCCCTATAAGGAAGATAAATTTTCTCTTGGTAAAACGTAACACTTCCTTGAGTCACTATCTTGTCCTAAATCATCTTGATAACATGTAGAGATTTTTATAATTATTTCTGATATAATATCATTTTTTCAGGTTCTGTAAGCACATAGTCGTTTATTTTCTTCCTCAATGGCAAAGTTTGTCTAATCTATTAAGCCGGCTGTGTAACTTAATGGTTACATAGTCTTTTGTTTCCACCCGCTGGTTTTGTCCACTGTACATTTAGCTGTGATGCTAAAACAAAAGACGGCCTGGAAAGCCACCGCTGAGACAACATTTTCTACTGTTCATAGAGTTTGCTTTTGTGTCGATAGACTTTTAGATTTAGATAATGATTCTGACAAGTAATATGTGGCCACTCCTCTTGTAAGGGGAATACATAATACGTGCTGCCCCGCACAGGCAAGTTACTCCGACAAATTCTTAAAACTTAAGGCCACACACTACTCAGAGACCTTTACGTGGTAAGTTTCTTAACTTATCTATCATTTTTAATTATCATATTGGGTGATTTCTTCCTCTTTTAAAGTTAGTAGTTAATCATCTCTCCTGCGTCGGTGACTCTCGTCTCGAACGAAAAAAAGAAAAAAAACTCCTCTCAGCGACGGAATTTAAGAAATTAAGTTTGGGCAATGCTTTTTTTAGGGGTTCCGCTAGAAAATGATAATTTGCTTATACAATAGATACTTTATTTTTCTACCAGAACAAAAATCCATCTGGACATGAACTTCGAGATCATTCTGTTTCTCGTTCACGCATTAATCGTGCTAGGGAAGCCCGCTCATCAAGATGAAGGTATGAGTTTCACTGTAAAGCATTCTGGGATGAAAAAAAAAATAGTTTCCATTCAAGAAGAAGTTTCTTTATTTTTTAGATGAAACTGTACTTGGAAATGCGCAATCATACTTAAAAATTTCCACTCGCACTAGTTTAGAATCAGATTTTTTTGCCAAAAAATGTATTCCGATAGTTTAGTTAAAAATCAATAAAGCACATTTATCCATGCTCACTTGGAATTTGCGCTATTATCGCTAAATCATGATTATCAATTGTGAGACCTTCGCCCCCGACAGTTGTGCCAGCCTAAATTATCACTAGAGTAGTGCATGGAAAAGAAGAATAAAAAAGTATATTGTAAAATGTAAAATTTGAGATCTGTAACCGCTGTGGTATTGTGTACCTAAAATGGCATGATGTAAACATTTTTTGTTATGCTGTTCATCTCTCTCATCTTTCTCTGTCTTCTTCAAATAATGAACAGAAGATCTTATCATAGTACGCATTTATTCCAGATATAATGGCCATAAAGTTTCTTTTGTCTCGTTTACACCAGTTCTATCAATAAAATTGATAATGTAAGCGAACAAACGTCATTGATTCCATAAATTTAAGCAATAATTTCATTCCCAACGATTCCTCCCTTTGTCTTTTTTGTCCTTAGTTTTTCTTTTCTGTTGTCTTTGCATCTTTTTTTTTTTCTGGTAGTTATGCTCTCTTACTATCAGTTCTCTACTTTTTTTTCTTATTTCGACGGTAAAAACACGATATGATATATTGACTTGGCTACACTTTCATCACAACCAGATTGCGAATCGTATAATTTACTGTGTTTTATATCTTCATCTAAGTTGGCAGCTGTGATGTTAACTCCAGATGCAGATGGGAATGCGGTTGGCTTGGAATAGACAAAGAAACCTGCGAGAAGCGCGGCTGCTGCTGGGATGACAGTGATCCTTGGGCAAAGTTCTGTTTCGTCAGGAAATATAAAAGTAGGATCCTTCTCATCTATGTAGTATAATTTCAAATGATTTCAAAGGTCTTCTCGCTAAACTACGTATCATCCCAGGGATGCTGCTGAAAAATCCACATGGAGAAGTTGTTCTTAAAATTGCATTCGGTATCCTTACTGATAAGAGCCTGCCCTTTTCAACGGAAGTATTCGTAACTACTAAAGAGGTAACTTATTGTGTTGCAGATCTCCCTGATGGACTCTGCCCTGTTGCTCCTTCTGAGCGCCAGGAGTGTGGTCATTATGGGATAACAAGGGATGAATGTCTGAGTAAATCATGCTGTTGGGACCCCACCGTACCTAACGCAAAATGGTGCTTTAAACAGCCTGGTGAGTAATTCTGATGGTACCTTTGAAACGTTCGAACATAATTTACCCTTTCCGACTACTTTCCAAAATCGAGTGAGTGTCAGAGTACATCAGGCATTTGCTAACCTTCCGTAGCTAACGCAAAATGGTGCTTTAAAGAACCCGTTGAGCAAATATGATGTCACTTTAGAATCTTTGGAACCGAATATGCTCCCCCCCCCCAATCAAAGAATGAATGTCTAAGTACATCATGCTGAGTGGCCTTACCGCAGTGGAAGCTAAATGATGCTTTATCCAGCTTAGTAAGCAACTTTGATAGCACTTGTGAATCGCTGGAAACGACTCCCATCCTGAGCCGATGCTTGTTGTTATCATGACAATAATATTTCCCGTACCTATGACTTTAGATGGGTGACATATTTGTTTTTCTTAATTGGAATAGTTATGAGGGGTAGTTGGAAGAGACTTCACATTTAAGATTTTTATGCGAAACATTTTAAGTTTTTTTTTCTTGTTAAAATGTTGTGCATGGATTCCTCAAGTTTTTTTTTTAAATGCACCAATCCTATCGATCTGGATTCCCAAAACGAAATCTAATCATAAAGGGTTGTAACTGATTTACATTTTACGCTTTAACAACCATCGTCTCTCTCCCTTAGATAAAATGGTGCATTAAATCAAAAGGAAATTTTCTGAAAACTTCACCCTGATTATGGCACCATATTTTAACATCAAATGTGATGATTTTAGATATAGGAAATTCATATATTTGCACTGCGGTGAAGAAATAAAATTAAGAGATCCTCGCAACTAAGAATACTACTGAAACGAGTAGTTGAAAATAGAACCTGAAAAAAAATTCATATATTTGAACCCATGATCTCTGCGATACCGGTGCAGCGCTCTACCGTACGGGCCTGAATTGTTTTCAGGTCTTATTTTCAACTACTCGTTTCAGTAGTGTTCTTAGCTGCGAGGATCTCTTAATTTCATGATACTAAGAGCTCGACCTTTCAGAACCCCTTCTTGCCTAGAAAGAAAATAAAATATCTTCGTAAGTCTTCACATACCTCAGAACGAGCTGCTGGTGTGGCATAATTCAAGTATGAAGTTCATGCCGTTTTCCGGCAGAATTTAAGTGTTTATTTGCCTAATTCAACGCTTCAGTGCTGTACTTTCAATGTACTGTATAATTTTCAAATCTGAACTGCTGCGGGTTTTTTCCTTCAATTCATGTTGATTTCCATAAATTCCATATGAATAATATCAAGAATGTTTCTCAATTTCAGTTGAGGAAACGAGATCTTGTTACATTTATCATGGTGTATCGGGAACCTGTAAATACGTGTGTGATAAGGACGAGAGAAAGAGCTATGGAATGGGACAGTGCAAAGGGAGAATATGCTGCTTTTAATTAAAAAGTTATGTGAGTGGATAGTACTGTAACTTTCTGTGGATGGTGAAAAAGGGGGTACAAATCACTCATCTGTGCTCTTTCGTTTCTTTTTTGAATGGCCTGATCCGTCAACCTTATGTGTTTTCTGTTCAAATCTGGACCCAAAGTACCCCAAATTTTTCGTGTTATCAATTTACTTGAACTAATTCAAACACCCTTCTTCTATCATAAATCAGTTGGGTTGGGCGCACGAGTGGAGAGGAGGCGTTTTGACCTGGCCTAAGTTGTTTCAATTCTCAATGTGAAAGTTCAACCAATTTCGACAGCAGAATGCCGACTGACCATAACAAATGAATAAACAATTAAAAATGAACAATATCATTCTGAGTATTACCTGGACAAAAACTTCAGGCATTTCGAACTCAGACCTTTTCGCATATGATTTTGTAATGTTAATATAACTGCTATGATGTCTGATTTATAATCATAAACATTATTTGAGCCAATAGGAAATTAAACTATGTATACTCACCTTTCTTAACATTCAATTGGTTCAACTGTTAACCATGACTGTATTTTGCGTTTCTTTTTTTATAGTGGAAAATGATCCTTGAAAAGTGCCACAGGACAAACAATTCATCACTTACACGAAGAACGTAACATTTCAATTAACATTCAATAAAACATTCACACTCATGAAAACTGTCCTTAATTCATTTTTGATTGAGGCTCCATTCAAGGCATGCGATGCCAATTGCAACAAAACAGGCTATTATATGTTTTAAAGGTGCCAGCAGACCATTACTCCTTTGACTGCTTAAATGTATCACATTTTACAAACACCACCATTTTTTCAAATGATTTATCCACAATAATTTACTCCCAAAGCTATAGGTAACAAGAAATAGCTACAAATGAAGGATATATATCAATAAACCCCAGCCAACAGTTATGCATCTGAGAGGCGACACAGCGACCGGAAAGTTTTTAATTGAAGTTAAGTTCTCTGAAATCTAGCATTAGCGAAAACATTGAAAGCACCAGTAACCGGAACTGATCCTACCGATAGGTCTTTCCAGTTTGGACTTTTTCTTGTATTGCTCCCTAGGTGAGAGCCAAAATTTCTTAAATCCTATCAATCTTGAATTATTTTGCAATACAAGAGAAAGATATTTTTAACATTTTCTCTCTTACCCAGCAAGGAGACAAGCAGCAGTCGCAAGTCCGCAAACTGTGGTTATAAGAATGAATCTCGGTATAAATAGTTATAAATTAACGGAAACAATTCAAAATGGCTTAAAACAGCGTTTCGCAGCTCTTTATGTTGTATCAAAATTTTCTGACTTGTATTAGGAACAGAGTTGTAAGGCTTTCAGGAAAAAAAAACAGAAGCTGTTTTGGAAAACTTACATCGTACCCATTTAAACTGGTTGTGGATTCGTGTTGATTATTATGGTCATTCATGTTTTCGACGAGTTTAGCCTCGCTGACTATTCAACATAGGGGGGCTTAACAATTGCCCTTAGCGAACAATTGTTAGATATTCCATAGATTCCTCTGTCGAGAAAGTTCTGTCTGACGAGCGCTTAGGCGCGAAACTCAGAGTAACAGAGAATCAATGCGTCCTCTTTGATTCTTCCACTAATATATACTCAGCTCTGCTACCACAGCATTAAGCACTTTATGCCAAGGTAGACTCTACCCACACATTTATATATATATATATATATATATATATATATATATATATATATATATATATATCCTCTGTAATCAGTTGTAAGTGAACACCACGATTATTCTCCATCATCTTTGTTGCAGGAGTAAAGGTATTTCCTTCATATGTGATAGAAACAACTCTGCAGCAGGGGCGGGTCTAGGGTTTTTCTTTCGAGGTGGGGTGCACCACTGGCAAATGACGCAACTGACGGGTGAAGTGAACCAATTTTGAAAGGGAACAACGTAGAGAAAGGCTTAGGATCAGGCAATAACATAATCCAAACTACTGAGAATAATTAAGCAAACGGTACGCAATATTTGGCATAACCGTGAAGTTATTTTAGAAAGCAGTAGGTCATCTCAGCGGGAAGTGTACCCACTACTCCCCTCCCCTAAATGCGCCCCTGGCAAGCCTCAAGTGGAACGTCATTTTTCTCAGGTGTACCAGGATTCTAGGATTAAACTTTCGAATGTCTCCCACTAGGTCTGTCCCAATTGTGCTCGGCACATTTGAGCAACTTTAGGCGTTTAGAGAACCTTTGCGGTTATAGCAACCTCGAGCAATTTTCGCCTTTCTTAGAAATTTTTGAGCAAAATATAGGTTTATAGCACATATCAGCTCAAAAAGTGAACGATTTCAAAGAAAACTTCAATTTATGCGAATTTCATGAGTGTTATCAACCTTTTTAAGTACACAATCCGTCACTTGACAACGTTTCGCAGGGCTAATGCGATCCTTATCTAAGATTACAGATAATCGGCAATAAGTGAAATGAACCTTGTGATTTGTTCCTTTAGACGTAAGAATACTCTTAAATTTTCACCCATATTGGAAAGCAACTCTTTGAAGCCAAGTTTCAAGCTATTTCTCTAGGCCGATGTTCAGAACTCTGCAGACCTGATTCTTCTAGTCCTAAGTATCCTGAGTATGGTATACTCTGGGCGGGAACGAAATTGGAGCCGAGTGAGATTTACCGAAAGTGAACACATTACGAAATACAGACAGCAAAACCTCAAAAGACTGCTCGTAGCAACAGAAGACGGCATCTTGATTTGCTATCTTATCAGTCTTCATGTTAATCGAAGTCAATTTCCAATTTTGTAAGTGGTTCTTTTTCCTCTCCCTTGGAGATAAATCCCTGTTCCACCGTGCCTTAAGGGCCTATGGAAGGTTGGGAGCTATGAATTCCAAAAATGACTTCAAGTTACTTTAGAAACGAGGCAGCTTAAGGCACCTGAATCAAAATGAGTCGGTATTTTCTGGGTTTCAGAGAAGTTTACTCGGGGGAACCTCGCGATACCAGGGGCCAGCGAGGGTCGCTTTATCGTTACCGATGCACCACATAACTTTAGTCATGTGATCGTTGACACATCTTCAAGTAAAATATTGCCATGGTTTGGATAAAATAAGGCAACTTGCTATTAAACACTTTCTTTATTTAAAACATTAGAAAATGCAGCTTTTGTTACATGGGTAACGCATTTAAGTCATTTATAACCACTTAATAAGTTTAAGTTCTTATTCGTACTTTGCGACAAATATTTGAAAATTCATGCTTCGTTAAATAAGGAACGCATTCAGATTAAGTCTAAACTTCTACATTAACCTCATTTTTTACGGAATCTCGGGTATATTTATTCTTTTCATTCACACATTTTCTTGCATTGATGCTTTTCTTCACTCAGCTTCTCCCCGTCTTCATTTCTCTAACACCCTGAGGAAAGGAAACGTTTACGCGGTTTATTTTGCTAATTAGGCAACTGAAGAACAAAAAAAGACGTACCATGCACGCCGGGAGTCCATTGAGGGTAGGATCTTACACAACAAAAATATAAGCGATTTTGAAAGGTGAAAATGAGGCTTGATGTCTAAGCAATAACGAAAACGATCAATGACGTGGTAGATTCATCATCTGAGCGAATATGAAACTGAAAGGACAAAAGTAGAGTTATTAAAAGAAAAGGTGGCTGCACATATTATGGTTATGAAAGTCTGAGGGTTATTTTTGTTGCGGGTCTTCGTGATAAAGCGATTGACAGCCAAATGGGTTGGAGAGAGATAAGCAATCCATCTTAGACTAAATTATACTTTGTATCAAGTTAATTCGAAACTCTTTTTAAATTTGCATCGTCAAGTTTTATTTTGTTCTCATACCAATTAGTTTGTATAGGTTATAGGTAATTATAGGTAATTCCGAGTGCAATTTGGGATAAATCAGCACAAGCAAATTTTTCAAAGGCTTACCAAAAGGCTCAAGTCCGTAGGGCGAATGAAAATTATTGTCTTAGAAAAACTTTCAAGTGCTGATTTATCCCAAATAATACGAGAAAAGATTCATGTGATTACATGTCAATAATACACATGCAAAAATTTGACTCTGTTCTCTCCTAGCCTTGTTCATGGGTCACTGGTGCAGCCACTTGCATTTGTGTTGTTGCCGGAGTCGCTGGCGTTTTCCCGCACGAATTTACGTCTAGCTTTTAAATTTTCTCTTACGAATAATTGAGTGTTCACCCTCTTTCTCAGTTACAATTGACTAAATAGCGCAACCAGTACACGAAGGCTAACACGCTCGTTATTTAATCCTTGTCTTTCGTACGAATTGTTGCATAAACTGCGAGAGAATTTTGTTGAGGACTTCCGATTTCCGCGTTTCAATACCTTTTTCATGACCTTTTTTGGAAGCCCAAGACTTCCCAACTTTTTGCCAGTTGTTCTTGCTTTGTTGCGGGATTTTGTTCTGGATTAAAGCGTTCTTACTTCCCCCTAACCCGTCTGCTGCTTTGTTTTTGTGTCCTATCGCGACTGGAGAGTCGCGAAAGCACACCATTGCGCAGAATGCCTGGGCATGATTAGGTATTTAGGAGCACTGATGTGGGAATATTTGAATGCGATCGCACCCTGAAAGCCCATAATAAGAGAAGAAAGGGCCAAAATTAGCACAGCAGCGTTGATAAAACTCGTTTTCCCTATCGCCAGAGGCAATAAGTCAAAAACTCAAGAGCAGATTTTTAAGGAGGGAGGGTTTTATTTAAATTTAATTAAAGCTTAAAAAGAGAAAGTTTGAGAAAGTATAAAGTCTATTCCTTCACCTTTGAAAATGTCCAAAAAACCGGACCTTTTTAGTATAAGGGCCGATTTAAAAGCGATCTTTAAGAAAAAAATTCGAACTGGCTTTCAAAAACTCAAGAGCGGGAAATGGAGAATGGATCTTTCCTGCAATAGAACCCGGTTAAACTTTAAAAGTTGGTGAACTAAAACCGCTAGTCCTCACAGTTTTAAAATTTTAAGTCGAAGTTCTTTTCGAAAACATCGCGCTTCGACTCGGAGTTCGACACCATTGTATTCAGCCCACGAATAATAATGGTCGCCAAAACTAAACAATGGCCAATTCAAGAAACCTCTCATGCCGCGAGTTTTGAAACGGATCTTAGCGTATCAGCTAGCTTAAGCAACACTTGTCCAATGTCCATGCGAACACAATCCTACCCAAGCAATTTGTATCTAGAATTTGAAATAGTTTTCCGTTTGGCTAAACTAAACAATTGCCATTTCTTACACATCAACTCAACTTTGTATAGCCAAGGATTTCCTCGATTTAAATTTAACCTTTTTCACTGTTTGGGATAAATTGATTAAGGGTTAGTTAAAACTGAAGCTGTTGTCTATTTCCTCAAAAATGATAACGAGCCTGCTACTCTCGAGACCTTTCGGAACTTTTGGAGAGTACTTCTTATTCCTTCGAGTAAAAAGCAACTATTTCAACAAAATCTTAAACCCTCCGTTTTCAGTGAAGAAGGGTACGTAAGAAAGAAAGTTAAAGAAAATCTACATAGGCATAATGAGAAGATATATATTACGTTAAAAAGCGATAAGATAAAATAGTGGCCGAAAATTTCTGTAGCATTTCCGTATCGGAAAGAAATTAGGCTAACACAAGAAAGTACTCACTAAGACGCCAAACATCTCGTAACCTTTCTCCTCCGCTGCAACTTTACAAAGTTCAAACGCCGTTTTAACATCGCACTTCATTTCTCCGATGGCCTTGAAGTCTGCGAATCTTTCATCAAAGTCGATTTTCTCCCCCTTCTTGAGTACTTTGAAGCATCCCTCTGACCTCCACCCGTCTGCAGTAACTGATTGGAAGAAGGATTAATCCACCATAAGTTTATTGGGATAGCATTGAGATCATGGCCATGATCATTATTATTAGGATTATCATTATTGTTAATACTACTATTAAACAAAACAAAAATAAAATTCTTGAACGAGATTGGTTACTAGCAGCCCGATTCAAGCACTAAGAGGATAAAGTATGCGCCTTGCTTGTAACTGGACAATGTATTATAGCAGTTGATGCATCATACCTGTGCAATTGGACAGTACGAGTTTTTTGCGTGCGCTGTTGTGGCGTATTCGCAGAGTAAACAATTATTTAGTTGTGAACGCGCTCTGATCAATTGGTAGTTAATTTGTTTAATTCGTAATTGTGACTGCAATCATACTCTTTGTTAATAAATCATTTGCAGCATGGCAGCTTTTAAGTTCGCTATCACAGTTTTGATGGAGAACGAAAGAGTTATTGGCTATGGAGGATATCTGCTATGTTGATCTATTAGTAATTTCTGTGCCATGGATAAGAAAACGGTTTTACCTTCGATCTTTGTCGATTTTCTTTCATATATTAACACCAAGTTCACTACTCCTCGTCATCATAGATATGAAAGTTTTCCAAATATGGCAATTTATTCTGCCCTCTTCGTAAATGGTAACAAGTAAGAAACATTAAAACTGCAAAAGATTTGTACGTTCACCATCTTATAGGTAAAAGAAAAAAGCCCAACAGCCCTAAGAATAGTCTGCTACTTTGTTAGAAATATCAATACCTCTATAAAATAATCACTAGATCTGCTCTTGGTTTTGAAAACATTCAAAATTTGCAAGAATATAAATCAGATCATTAAGGTACCTTCACAATTGGCTCCAGAATATCCCTCGGCACATTTGCAGCTATACGAATTATCTTGGGTTTCTGTACAGACTCCTCCATTCTGACAAGGATTCTTGTCGCATGAACTGACTACAATGGAACAAAAACTCTAAGTTTACTTTTGATTTAGTAATGTTAAAATGAACTAACCACTTGAAATGAGTAATATTGGCAAGATTGTAGTCAGCCGTCCCGAACGAACTCATTTGCTGCCCAAGCGTTTTGTAATTAGACCAAATGGACAACACTCATTAGCCCAAAGGTATAATTATTTACCACTTCTTATCATTTAGGCTAATAAATTTTCTTTTCATAAAAAGTATCTTAAGGTATAATGGTACAAAATGGTATTTTTCGAACATTAAAACTCGCTAGCTACTGTTTGTTACTTGCCGCAGTTAGCCCAGGATCCACTGTAGGAAGCAGTGAGTGAACACCACAATCGGCTATGAGCGGCCATGGTACAAGCGTTGTAGGTCGTTCCTCCATAGGTAAAAGGGAGAAAACAGCAGGCACCTTGCGGATTGTCGGTTTTTTTGCCAGGTGGGCATGGCAGCTCTGTGGAAGAACAGAAAAATGTCCTTCACGTTCCTAGTATATTATAAGTTAATTTGAAAGCAAAGCGATAGGGCGATTTCTGGTACATGTACCTCTGTTTACATTGAATGACAAAGACATTAAGATAAAAAATGAGTTATTGAGAATTTTGAGTCAGTCTTCCATTGTAAAAATGCACCGTCACACTGTCCAGAGCTTACATACCACTATTAAAAAAATAATAAAAAAAAGTAAAAGAAAGGTGAGAAAAATATCCTATATTGCATGAATTGTTCACACATAGTTTACAATCTGTATGCCTGTATGTACTTTTTTCACAATTTTCTCCAGAATATCCAACGGCACATTGGCAACTGCGCGAGTTGTTTCCTATTTCGGTGCAGATTCCTCCATTTTGACAAGGTTTCTTAGCGCATGGGCCCGCTGCGGAGTAACAAGAAACCATAAATTAGATATTTTCATTCTTTTGTTTGCATGATTGTGGTATTTGACATCAAATCAGGAATCTGTTCCGGGGTGACAAAAGTATTCATTATATGCACAAGTCAAAAAATGATGATAGCTTATTCATATCCTGTGATTACCTCTCTGTATTGAATACAATACGGTCAGCTTGCTCATGGAGGCCCAAAAATATATCAAGTAAAAAACATTATCGAACATGAAAATGACTGTTAGCTGAACTCACAGTCGTCACACATGTACCTATTTCACAATTGCCTCCAGAATATCCTGAAGCACATTTGCAGGTATACGAGTCGTTTCTGTTTGCTGTACAGACTCCCCCATTCAGACAAGGCTTGTTGTCGCATGGACCGACTGCAGTAGAACAACAATTACAAAAAAACACTCAATTAAGCACCTCCATACTTTTTTAACTCTGGATAAACTCTTAGTTCAATATTATTAGCAATCTTCTTTGGTCTGACAAGCATATATTTGATGACTGATGATTAATAGTCAGACCTAACAGACAACACCTAGTTGCTCCAAAAAAGTAATAGTTGTATGTCTTCTTACCATTGTGGCTGAAAAGTCGTTTTTCAAAACGAATATATTGTACAAAAGTGTTTTTTGGTTTTTATTTGGCATGCATTTAAACTCAGGATTTTCTGTTCCTTACCACAATTAGCCCAAGATCCACTGTAGGTAGCGGTTAACGAACACCACAATCGGCTATGAGCGGCCATGGTACAAGCGTTGTAGGTCGTTCCTCCATAGGTAAAAGGGAGAAAACAGCAGGCACCTTGCGGATTGTCAGTTTTTTTGCCAGGTGGACATGGCAGCTCTGTGGAAGAAAAGTTAAATGTCCACTACGGTCTGGGTGTACTATCAGTTAACTTGAGAGCAAAGCAATGGGGCGATTACTGGAACATGTACCACTTTTTACTCTGAATGGATGTCGTTAATGGGGATAATTAAGAAATCAGTTATTGAGAATTTTGAGTTTATGTTCCATTGTAAAAATGCACCGTCACACCGCTTGAGCTTACATAGCACTATTTCAAGTAGATCATAATTCAAATGATGTAAAAAAAAGGAAAATGAAAGGTAAGAAAAAATATCCTATATTACATAAATTATTCCCACATAGTTTAAAATCTATATGCCTGTATGTACTTTTTTCACAATTTTCTCCAGAATATCCAACGGCACATTGGCAACTGCGCGAGTTGTTTCCTGCTTCGGTGCAGATTCCTCCATTTTGGCAAGGTTTCTTAGCGCATGGGCCCGCTGCGGAGTAACAAGAAACCATAAATTATTCATGTTAACTCTATTGTTTGGATGGATGAGGTATTGATATCAAATCAGGAACCTGTTCAGTGGTGACAAAACTATTCATTTTCAGCATAAGTCAAAAAATTATAATATGTAATTCATTTACTGCCTGTGATTACCTCTCCGTATTAAAAACCATGCGTCACCTAGCTCATAGCAGCCAAAAAATACCAAAGATAGAAAAAGATCAGACATTAAAATAACTGTTAGCTGAATTCACAGTCGTTACCCATGTACCTATTTCACAATTGCCTCCTAAATATCCTGAAGCACATTTGCAAGTATACGAGTCGTTTTTGGTTGCTGTACAGACTCCCCCATTCAGACAAGGGTTGTTGTCGCATGGACCGACTGTGGTGGAAGAAAAAACAACAACATCAATAACACTCACAAAAGTGTTTGTTGGTTTTTATTTGGCATGCATTTAAACTCAGGATTTTCTATTCCTTACCGCAGTTAGCCCAAGATCCACTGTAAGTAGCGGTTAACGAACACCACAATCGGCTATGAGCGGCCATGGTACAAGCGTTGTAGGTTGTTCCTCCATAGGTAAAAGGGAGAAAACAGCAGGCACCTTGCGGATTGTCGGTTTTTTTGCCAGGTGGACATGGCAGCTCTGTGGAAGAACAGAAAAGTGTCTTTTACATTCCTAGTATATTTGCAGTCCATTTGAAAGCGAAACGATGGGGCGATTACTGGTACAAGTACCCCTTTTTACACTTAATGGATGTCTAACTGGGGTAAGGTAAGAAATTAGTTATTGAGAATTTGAGTTAGTATTCAATTGTAAAAATGCACCATCACGCCGTCCAGAGCTTACATGGCACTATTTGAAGAAGATCGTAATTTAAAGTTGGTTCACAAAAAAATGAAAGATAAGAAAAATATCCTATATTGCATGATTTGTTCACACATAGTTTACAATTTATATGCCTGTATGTACTTTTTTCACAATTTTCTCCAGAATATTCAACGGCACATTGGCAACTGCGCGAGTTGTTTCCCATTTCGGTGCAGATTCCTCCATTTTGACAAGGTTTCTTGGCGCACGGGCCCGCTGCGGAACAACAAGAAATCATAAATTAGATATGGTCATTCTTTTGTTTGGATGAATGAGGTATTTGACATCAATTTAAGACACTGTTCAGTGGTGACAAAAGTATTACTTTTTTTTGCATAGGTCAAGCACATGATGATCTTATTCATATCCTGTAATTTCCTCTCCGTATTGAATACCATAAGTCAGCTAACTCATAGCGGCCAAAAAATATCGAGTAAAAAGATTATCAAACATTAAAATGACTGTCAGCTGAATTCACAGTCGTCACACATGTACCTATTTCACAATTGCCTCCCGAATATCCTGAAGCACATTTGCAGGTATACGAGTCGTTTATGTTTGCTGTACAGACTCCCCCATTCCGACAAGGGTTGTTATCGCATGGACCGACTGCGGTGGAAAAAGAAAAACTCAATTAAGTACCTCAACATTTTTGTAGCTACGGATAAACTATTCAAGGAGCAATATTCTTTGGCCTAACAATAGCATATATTTGATGATTAGTGATCAATAGTCAGACCTAACAGACATTATCTAGTCGCTCCGAAAATGTAATTGTTGTATGTCTTCTTACCATTGTAGCCGAAAAGTCGTGTTTTAAAACGAATATATAGTACTAAAGTGTTTGTTGGTTTTTATCTGGCATGTATTTAAACTTGCGACTTTCTATTCCTTACTGCAGTTAGCCCAAGATCCGCTGTAAGTAGCGGTTAACGAACACCACAATCGGCTATGAGCGGCCATGGTACAAGCGTTGTAGGTCGTTCCTCCATAGGTAAAAGGGAGAAAACAGCAGGCACCTTGCGGATTGTCGGTTTTTTTGCCAGGTGGACATGGCAGCTCTGTGGAAGAACAGAAAAATGTCCTTCACGTTCCTAGTATATTGTAAGTTAATTTGAAAGCGAAGCGATAGGGCGATTACTGGTACATGTATCTCTGTTTACACTGAATGGATGTCATTAATAGGGCTAGATAAGAAATGAGTTATTGAGAATTTTGAGTTTGTCTGCCATTGTAAAATGCACTGTCACACCTTCCAGAGCTTACATACCACTATTTAAGTAGATCATAATACAAACGTTGTAATAAAAAAAAAAGAAAAAATATATGAAAGATAAGAAAAATATCCTATATTGCATGAATTAAATACACATAGTTTATAATCTATACTATGAGTGAATGTACTTTTTTCACAATTTTCTCCAGAATATTCCACGGCACATTGGCAAATGCGCGAGTTGTTGCCTGTTTCGGTGCAGATTCCTCCATTTTGACAAGGTTTCTTAGCGCATGGGCCCACTGCAGAACAACAAGAAATCATAAATTAAATATGTTCATTCGTTTGTTTGCATGATTGTGGTATTTGATATCCAATCAGGAATCTGTTCAGGGGTGACAAAAGTATTCATTTTATGCACAAGTCAAAAAATTATGATATCTAATTCATATCCTGTGATTACCTCTCCGTATTGAATACAATACGTCAGTTAGCTCATAGCGGGCCAAAAATACATCAAGTAAAAAAATTATCGCACATTAAAATGACTGCTAGCTGAACTCACAGTCGTCACACATGTACCTATTTCACAATTGCCTCCAGAATATCCTGAAGCACACTTGCAGGTATACGAGTCGTTTCTGTTTGCTGTACAGACTCCCCCATTCAGACAAGGGTTGTTGTCGCATGGACCGACTGCGGTGGAAAAAGAAAAACTCAATTAAGTACCTCAATACTTTTGAAGCTACGGATAAACTATTAAACAGCAATATTCTTTGGCCTAACAATAGCATATATTTGATGACTAGTGATCAATAGTCAGACCTAACAGACACTACCTAGTCGCTCCGAAAATGTAATTGTTGTATGTCTTCTCACCATTGTAGCCGAAAAGTCATGTTTTAAAACGAATATATAGTACTAAAGTGTTTGTTGGTTTTTATCTGGCATGTATTTAAACTTGCGACTTTCTATTCCTTACTGCAGTTAGCCCAAGATCCGCTGTAAGTAGCGGTTAACGAACACCACAATCGGCTATGAGCGGCCATGGTACAAGCGTTGTAGGTCGTTCCTCCATAGGTAAAAGGGAGAAAACAGCAGGCACCTTGCGGATCGTCAGTTTTTTTGCCAGGTGGACATGGCAGCTCTGTGGAAGAAAAGTAAAATGTCCATTACGGTCTGGGTGTATTATCAGTTAACTTGAGAGCAAAGCAATGGAGAGATTACTGGAAAATGTACCACTTTTTACTCTGAATGGCTGTCGTTAATGGGGATAATTAAGAAATGAGTTTTTGAGAATTTTGAAATAGTCTTCCATTGTAAAAATGCACCGTCGCACAGCCAGAGCTTACATAGCACTATGTCAAGTAGATCATAATTCAAACGTTGTAAAACAAAGAAAATGAAAGGTAAGAAAAAATATCCTATATTACATAAAATATTCCCGCATAGTTTACAATCTATATGCCTGTAAGTACTTTTTTCACAATTTTCTCCAGAATATCCAACAGCACATTGGCAACTGCGTGAGTTGTTTCCTGTTTCGGTGCAGATTCCTCCATTTTGGCAAGGTTTCTTAGCGCATGGGCCAACTGCGGAGTAACAAGAAACTATAAATTATTCATGTTAACTCTTTTGTTTGGATGATTGAGGTACTTGATATCAAATCAGGAACCTGTTCAGTGGTGACAAAACTATTCATTTTCTGCATAAGTCAAAAAATTATATTATTTAATTCATTTACTGCCTGTGATTATCTCTCCGTATTAAAAACCATGCGTCATCTAGCTCATAGCGGCCAAAAAATACCAAAGATAGAAAAAGATCAAACATCGAAATAACTGTTAGCTGAATTCACAGTCGTCACCCATGTACCTATTTCACAATTGCCTCCTAAATATCCTGAAGCACATTTGCAGGTATACGAGTCGTTTTTGGTTGCTGTACAGACTCCCCCATTCAGACAACAACATCAATAACACTCACTTAAGTACCCTCCTACTTTTGTAGCTGTAGATGAACTATTTAATATCAATATAAGCAACAATCTTCTTTGGCCTAACAATAGCATGTATTTGAAGACTGATGAATAATAGTCAGACCGAACAGACAACACCTAGTCGCTCAAAAGTGTAACTGTTGTATATTTTCTTACCATTGTAGCTGGAATATCGTCTTTTAAAACGAAGTTAAAGTACAAAAGTGTTTGTTGGTTTTTATTTGGCACGCATTTAAACTTAAAGGTAAGAAAAAATATCCTATATTGCATGAATTGTTCACACATGGTTTACAATCTATATGCCTGTATGTACTTTTTTCACAATTTTCTCCAGAATATCCAACGGCACATTGGCAACTGCGCGAGTTGTTTCCTGTTTCGGTGCAGATTCCTCCATTTAGGCAAGGTTTCCTAGCGCATGGGCCCGCTGCGGAGTAACAAGAAATCATAAATTAAATATGTTCATTCGTTTGTTTGCATGATTGTGGTATTTGATATCCAATCAGGAATCTGTTCAGTGGTGACAAAAGTATTCATTCTCTGCATAAGTCAAGAAAATGATGATATCTAATTCATATTCTGTGATTATCTCTCCATATAGAATACCATACGTCAGCTAACTCATAGCGGCCCAAAAATATCAAGGATAGAAAAAGATCAAACATTGAAATGACTGTTAGCTGAATTCACAGCTGTCACCCGTCAACCAACTGTTAGTTCAATTCACATTTGTGATGCAGGTACCTATTTCACAATTGTCTCCAGAATATCCCACGGCACACTCGCAGCTGTACGAATCATTTTTGGTTTCTGTACAGACTCCTCCATTCTCACAAGGTCTCCTGTAGCATGGGCCGACTGTGAAGGAACGAAAAAAGACATTTCATTAATCTGGTTCATACTTTTGTTTCAATTAATGAGCTGTTTGAGATTAATATTAGCTGGAATCTGTTTAGGCCTAATAGCATACATTTCTACTGGCGTCCTAAGCTCACGTCTTAATTTTCGGACGCGTATGTATATATTCTTGAATGCGTCACGCGTTGTGTTACGTGGTGTTAGGCTAAACGAGAGGAACCGTTTAGAATTTGAATCTGTTATGAGGATTTGCATCGGAAACGGAATACGGGTGATTTAAGACGCTTTATATTCCGAGATATAAACATTTTACACGTAAGATCAAAAAACTTACTCATTGTGTGTCCGTCGTGGTTTCTGGTGATCTCTGCCGTTTTGGAGCCTGCTTTGTCATGCCTGTCATAACACAGAGTGATGGCAAAGCAGAAACCAGAAACCATAACGGACACAAAAGAAATGAGTAAGTTAATTAATTTTATGAGTAAAATGCTCATATTTCGGAAGAATTAGCGTTGTTAATCGACTTTATTTGTTTCCCCACACTATTCCTTAAAATGGGTTCAAATTCTCAACAATTCCTCGCGTAACCTAACACCGCGTATCACACAATGCGTGACGCTTTCAGGAATATACGTTAAGTGTGCAAGCATTTTCTCGAGACATGAGCTTGGGATGCCTGTGATATTTGATGACCGAGATCTGATAGCGAGATCTAACGGACAAGATCTAGTTGCTCTAATTAAGTATTGTTGTATCTCTTCTTATGATTAACCCTTTAACTCCCGTGAGTGACCAGAACAGAATTTCTCCTTACTATATCTGTACAATATCATGCAGACAAGTGATGAGACTAAAGAAAAATATCAATTATGGCATTTCTAATTGATCCGATATCAAATTCTCCAAGTCAACATGATGAGAATCATTTGGCAGACAGTAAGGAGAATTACTAAAGAGATCTTGAGGAGTTAAAGGAGTTGAGATAAGTTAATCAGTTTAACGTCAGAGACATAGGGAGTGGTTTCCCAATCTCCCAGGCCCGAGGCTCGTGATATTAGTGTTTGACAAGCTAAAAAAACTTTAAGACTATACATGCTAAGAGCTACGAAATTATCAAAAGAATAGAAATAAGAACGGGAGACTACATATATTAGTATAATTAATTGGTCAAGTCTAAAGGTTATTGAGAAATGACTAATAATATCTACCTACACAACTGATTAAAGAATTACAATATTCAAAACGCGGTAATAAAAAACTCCTATATAAAAGAAACACTAAGCACTTATGGCGACAAAGTGCAGATATCATAGTATAATTATGCTCTCTTCAACAATACATTTTTGTGCACTTGAGCAGATAACTTACTTATCCAAATAAATAAGCTGATACTAAATCCTGTTTTATACAAATATTTTAAGGTATATCGGTACAAAAGCGTTTTTCTAAATTTTTTTGTGAACATCTAAACTCTTTTCCTTCTGTTCCTTACCGCAGTTAGCCCAAGATCCACTGTAAGCAGCAGTAAGTGAACACCATAATCCGCTATGATCGTCCATAGTACAAGCGTTGTAGGTTTTTCCTCCGTAGGTGAAAGGAAAAACACAGCAAGTACCTCTCGGATTGTCTGTCTTCTTACCAGGTGGACAAGGAGGCTCTAAACACCTACTAAAGACTGCAAGAGGCAACACACATCGGAAATTTTTGTGAGATCAAGAAACTTCTAATGACGTCAGGGATCGCGAGTTGGAAAGAGGCACGGTATTCTTATGAGCCCAAGATGTTTATCATTATACGAAATAAGTTGTAGACTGAACTCGCTTAAAAGGCTTCATCATTGGACAGTTTGACAGGTTAGTGGATCTTTTTGAAGCCGTCTTTTCCCGTCTAATTAATATAAGAGAGAACAAGGTAGAGAGAGGGACAATCAGGACGTTTGCCGCGATAAGTCGTCGTCACCGAGGTTTTTAACCTTTGTGTGGAAGGAAAGCTAGTTCCCCCTTTCCTGCATTGCGAACACTAACGCGCTTGCAATTTTTCGAAGCTATTTAAATCGAAATCAATATCCTCGCTGTTCACCAATACATCAATGTAATTTACTGGGGCCGAACGCAATAAGAGAAAAAGACATTTTAAGTAACATGTGTAAGTACACAACTATATAACAGCTGTTTCAATAAGTGAAACCCCAAGAAAGCTAAGTAAATACTAATGAATACATGACGTACTTACCACAAAACATGTTAACGCCACAAATAAGCAGTGCCAACATACATGCAGTTGACTTCATAGTGTCTAGTAAAAGTGGGTTGTAACTGAAACTTCAAAAAAAGGATTTCAATTAAAAATAGTTAAATTAACTGTTCACATTTGCATTTTTTTTTGGAGTAGTTTGTCGCATTTGCTTCGGAGCGGATGATCGTCTGCTAATTCAGTGATAACCTCCATTTTGCAACATTGGAAACTTTGTTAAAAGAATAAGAGAGATGGTGACCTGACACTATCAACATTGCTGATCTTAGCAGTATGCAGAATGGCGTGTCATATATGGACTTTGTAATGGCCCGCGCTCACCATGGAGTCTCTATGACTCAATAGTAGAGTATTTAACCTCTGATCCGAAGGTCTGAGGTTCGATTCTTCATGGGGACTCAGATTTTTTTCTTTGTCCCACGCTCGTGACAAGGCGAAAAATAGGAAACATTTTTGGTTCATCATTGGAGGTTTTTTTAAGCAAAAAAAAAAGCTGCTACAATGTGTTTGGAGGGAGTTCAGAATCATCCCAATTTGTTATTCTACTTAAAAGTGGACTTATTCCACCTTAACAATTGCTATGCATTTTTTTCGTCGCCTAAAGAACCCAAAGTGGGCCTTCATTTATGCCTACATTGATGACACAGAAATTTTAGTTGAATTCAGGGTTTCTATGTCAGATTGAAAGTTTTTTAGTGCAAAACGCTTACAATACAATTTTTCAAATTTGATAATTTTTCAATTTTGATGTAACATACTGATAGTTATATTATCTAGATTGTTTGATTCCATAAATTTGCTTTTTGTTTATCCACCTCGCTGAGTTTATAAGCTATTTACTGATCATCGTTGCCGACCTATTTGACTACTTTTTAATTCGTTTATGTAGTTATCTTTTGCTTTGTTCTCGCTGAATAACGGCATTTGTAACCAAAGTAGCCATTAAAGAGAATTCATGTTCATTCATAAATCATACTTTTGACTTCTTTAGGTCAGGTCACGATTTCTTTATTGTGTACGGCGGCAAATTTATGGTCAACGTTGCTTAATCAAAGCGGTGTTGTTTTTCAGCAAAATGAAAGGCTGCGTTTTGTGACAATGTAAGAAACTGGTGACCTACAGCTGTTCAGTGTAGCTGTTCATACTGCTTACTGATATAGTGAAAGGAATAGAAGTTGGGCAAAACACGTAGAAAAAATACACAAGGAGCAGTTTATAAAATCAAATGCTTTGACTGTGGAACCCACTATAATCAGAGACTGGCAGGAATCCAACACCCGACAGACAGAACACAAGCGGGCCACAAGCGGTGGTGACATCAACAATTGCACAGCTGAATGTTATCGACTCACGAACTATACCATCGACTAAGACTTTTAGCAATGCTCAACCTACAACACTTACCGTCTTCCAACGACTGACTCTGGAAAGCTGCTTCACTTACTTAGAACGAAGTCCACTGGATAGATATCAACAATTACCGGCACCAAACAAACGATATATTGACGCCAATTACTAAACAAATGAATCGAATACCAAGGAGCGACGCAAAACAGTTACGTCAAAAATCACCTGGCTGGAAATCGTCAACCAAAGAATTACATTATTGACTGAGACTTTGGGCAACTTGATTAACAATCTACAGCATTAACCACCTAATTTCAGCGACTGACTTTTCAGAAGCTCATTCGCTAACCTAGACCAGTACCAAATGGATCATACGTCAGCGTGCGTTCATGGAGATATGAAACAAGCAGGAAGTTGGAGAGCACGGGTGAGGAATTCTTGAGTGCTTTCAAAACTTAACTCCATGATTGCACAACTGACGCATGAACTAAGTGCTCTATAACATTGTCAAAGCAGTGTTTTGGATGTTGTTGTCACAAAATTTAGAACTTTTGTGAAAGACAGCGCGTAATAAATCTTTAGTAAATCGTCTTTTGACCAAAACAACCTCTGATAAAGTCAAAACGGTTCGAAAACTTATTCCCAAACTTAGGAAATGATAATTTTAATGAAAATGTACTTAATTAGATATCGAAGTACATACTTGGTGATCACTGAGATTTTAAAGTCAATTTGCATATTTATCGCGTGCTAAAAGGCAAGGCAAAAATGTCTTACAAATATTTCGAGAGGAAACCTTTATTCAAATAAATACAAAATATGCTATTTAGAAGCCAAAAAAGTCAAATTTCCTCACGTATATGCCGCTCGTGCTGAAGATTCAAAATGCTTGAATGGTTGTTTTACTCGACAGAACACATTGCAAAACAGTGTGTTGGGAATTTTGTCAGTTGCCAGATTTAAAACAAAATCTCCTGCTGCGCAATACTCCAAGGACATATCCACACTTAGAGATTACATTTACCTAGAACAGATGCCAATATTGTCGAATCTTCGTCACAATCACCTGACAACGGTCCTTTTCAAGATTACTGTCAACCGGACAATCAGTTTACACTACTAATTTTATGACGTGACATAAATTTTACGCGACCGAGCTCTCTGACATTTCTCATTTGAAGCCTAAATGTGTGTGTTGATTTTCACACAGCAAGTATGAAGTAAATGAATTCAATCAAGTGGTATTTACCCTCAAATACGGTGTTCCTTCTCAACTCTTGTAATTTCCTGTTTACTTCTTCACTTCAGTTCTTTCGTGTAAAGTTCTTTGCAGAGTAACTTTGATTGAAATGACCCTACTAGCCCTTCGTAACAGCATTTAAAGACCTGAAGACGCACACTTATTCAAAGAATGTTTATATCAGGTTGTTTTTTACCTGAACACAATTTCCTGGTGATTTGTTTTTTGCATGTGTGCGAAGCACGTCCTCGAGTGGAAAGAAGGCTATTAATTGCCTATTCAAGCAACCAAGTTCCTCCCTCCCTGTGGCCGTTAAAACTACCGTCCTTTCTGACACTTCTTGCCCTTGTTTTGTACTTCATTCCATACATATTTCAGGCCTTACAATGTTTCTGAAAAAAAAAAGGGAAGTTGTCACATAGTCGCGTTGGCACGCATGTGAACCAAGGAAGTCATGCCAAAACCATCTTCTCTTTCAGAGCGTAGCAGCTGAATGGTCACGGGCAACTAGTTTCTTTCAGCAATTAGGAACTTACCTCTTACAGTGCTTTTTACCTTGTAGCTCACGTACACTACAGATTGTTTAAGAATCTATTTCAGCAGCTAACAGTCGTCAGTATTGGTAAGTATTCTAGACCCCTGGCAGATGATTTAATCAATTTTGAACCAAGGGATCAAAAAATGGTGGAGGCGCAACCATAATGTAATGCTTTTATCATACTTGCCTTTTTGCTGATTTTTGTGACTTTACAGGTCGTTACCCTTTGCGGCATCGTTTGTTTGGAAATTTTCCACGAGGAAGATTAAGCTGTCGAGACGTGTTTGAATTGATGTTCGCAATTTTCCTGGGTCAATAGTTTTTTCTACATCAGCATATAACGAACGCATTATGTGAATTTACCCTAGTGTGTTTACTCAATTGACGCTCGTGTTGACTCGTGTCAATGCTCATTTACTAAATCCGAAATCAAAGGTGACAAATATATCTTGTTGATTGACTCGTTTTTTCACATTACCTGCAAAAAGGGCATGTACTAGAATATAGACGATAGACGGTAGATGACAAACGATGAACGGTAGATGAATGATTTTGTGATGTAACTTGATCACGAATTCATGAATTGTCACGCAACCGCGTGAATGTCACATTAATCTTTATTTGTTACTTTCATTGTTTGCCTTTTGCCAGGTGTTGTGTATACTATTCTACCCTCTCTTAAAGCTCCCCAAAGTATCGTAGATTAGAATTTTTACTGGATTCGAACCTCTTTCATCTTAACCTCACTCATTAATCCTCTCATTTACCGCTGGCGACAAAAAGAGCTGAGGAATTTCGTATTTGGCTCTAGAGCCCAGGTTGCGCATTCTGAAAACCAATAAATATGACAGGAAGAATCTAAGGAAACTCATTCAAAAACATTACTGCTATTCGTTTTAAAATTGTGTGAAAATAGCATAGGTATAGATATAGCTCAGTTACTAATGAGATATGATACCACTGACAGTACAATGATGCACAACTCAGCGACACTCGACCGATATGCTCCGACTGTTGAATGCAACGTAACGGTCAAGGTTTCGGTCGAGTGTCGACCGACGTACCGACAAGGTATCGACCAACGGTCTACCAACTTGAATAACTTGGCGAACGAGAGTCGGCCGGCTATCGGTCGACTTGCTGACTGAGTATGGGCCGAGTATTGCCCAACACTTGGTTGAAATGTCGTCCGATAGTTTCCGTCGATACTCAGCCGACAGATACTTAAATACCCGTCATATCGCAATTTGAGGACTCACCAACGTCATCAGTGAATCATTCCGTAACGTTCGTACGGATCCAAACAATATCTGCATCGTAAATTCCCGGAAATTTTTTTTCGGGCAAATTATTTTCGAAAAGCCGTCATGCAGAAAATCTTGTACGGAATTTGAACCCATGACCTATACCGGTGCAGCGCTCTACTGACTGAGCCAACAGGCCAACTGGGAGCTGATCATTATGTTGGTTCCAAATAAGTGTAAAGACCTGAATTTTTTTTCAGGCCTTATTTTTACTACTGACCAAGTAGTGTTCATTACCGCGAAGATCACTTTCAAATTCACGTCTTTACCCGCAGTTTAAATATATATCTTTCATATATTCACAGCCGTTTATTCACCACTTCACGGGTTTGTTTGGAACCAACATAATAACCAGCTCCCAGTTGGCTTGTTAGCTCAGTTGGTAGAGCGCTGCACCGGTATCGCATAGGTCATGGGTTCAAATCCCGTACAGGCCTCAATTTTTTTTTCAGGCCTTATTTTCACTACTGCTCAAGTAGTGTTCATTACTATCACTTTCAAATTCACGTCTTTATCCGCAGTTCAAATATATGACTATCATATATTCACGGCTGTTTAACAGAAACGTTGTTCACATGCAATGTATATTCAATACTTGTTGGAAAATTGAGAGGAGTCAATAGTTTCGTCACTCGTCTATGGAGATAAAAGTCTTCATGTGAAATTGGATTTCTTACTGATTGATTAGTTCACGATAGATTTGTCATCGACAATTATCGGAAAACCACTCTTTGAAAACGAATTCAGCTTATGTGGCCCGAGTAAAAGATTTCAGCTTGTGGCATTTTAATCTGGGCAACGAGAAGTCATCGCCATGCAATTGATGTTGAATGAAGAACCATGTGCTCATAAAATGTTTTACATATATCATAAATCTCTCATTTACCATCTTTGTTATTTTTTTAACGTTAAGCAGAACTATGTATTACATACAATTCGATAAAATAGAGACGAACATTATTGCATTCATTTCGTTTTAAAGCAAATTTTAATGCGGGATCTGTTACATGTGTGTAACTGGGGCAAATAACTAAATAACCTCCTACCTGGTAAAAATGTCCTCTCTTCAACCTAGTCTCATTTAGAGCCAGGCTTCACAAGCCGGTGTTAAGGTGTCACGAGCTGCTTTCTTTTTATAAATACAAACTTCCTCATTTCGCTTCGTCTCGAAAAGTAAATCAATGGATTAACAAGCCAGTTTAACATGATTTTATCGCTCCTAAAATTCCAATTGAGAAAGCAATGATCTAAAATACTAACACTGTCACATTGATGATAGTTTTAGTCATCATGTTTGAGCATTGCATCGTAACTTTGGTTGCTATGACCATCTCGAAAATGTATGCCTTCAACCTTCAGATGAAGGCATGAAGCAGCCATTGATATAAACATTACATCGAGATGAACTTTTTCAACTGTTTTACTGCTACTAAGACCCAGTAGTTGGAATGTCCTCCATAGAACGATGGCTGGCTAGGGACACCTGTCAATGCGTCAGTCACCGCTAAACAGGTCAGGAAGATGTTGTTGTTGGTTCAGAGTCGAGGTCTTGTTTTCACAGCATTCATCACAAGGACGTTGAGCAGAACTGTGAGAGGACATGTGGTGGTGTTGATGATGATGGTGATAATATAACTTACCTAAGGTGAGACATTTGCATAACTAATCATCCTTGCGGCGTTTGCTTGCTCAGCAAGGTTTGATATTTTTAGTTGGATGCCTCGCTAATGAAGATCAACTGAATTTTTTGATCAATACGTGGAATTTTTGACGGCTTCGATCGCATTGCTCTACGCTGGGGTGCATGTGTTTCCTCTTAACTTTTTCTCACACATTAAGTACAGTAATTCTTAATTACTGCGGCTTTCAGTTTTTTCCGCCATGGTGAGTTGAAGAGCAACTCAAGTTCAAAGATCGACCAGTTAAATATTATCTTTTGTTTGGGCCATTTGATTGACCGCCACTTTCATTTTCATGTGCTTTCACTTAACTTTTTTCTCGCGGATCTTCAAGAAGACGAAAGTGCACAAAATTTCGAAGCGGAATTGCATCACGTTGTAGCGTAGGAAGTTTCAGAAATTATTCTATGGTTTCACTGTTTTACATTGTGGACACGGCCGTCTAAGCGTATTTTGAACTTTTTGATTTTTCGGAGAAAGCAAAGTGTGATAAAGCTTTGCGATAAAATATCTTTAAAAGGTTCATCAAAAGGGTCCTTCAGGAAAAATTAAATACATTACGAAGTTTTGCTATTGTCGGCAAATTCTCGATATTTATGGTCAGTGGCTCTTAATTTTAATCTTTCCTCTTAGCTACCAAAAGTTATATTTTGCGATTCCGAACCAAATTAAGAACTTCATCAATCATTTAACCGACTCTCCAAGGTAGATGTCACTTTTAAGGAAACAGGGAGTCTAAAGGCTTCTTTTGAAAACGATTGATACGTTTGCGAGAAAAAGTCAAGTGGAAGCAACTGAACATGATAGCAACAGTCGACCAAACCACACGAATATACAGAATATAATTGAAAAAAATCGATATATGAGATTGAGTTAATCCACATTAGCATTAGAAGTCACCATGGCAACACAATTGGCATCCTCATTAACTAATAATTTGAAATTGGTGTACCTCATGCGCGTGGAAAAGTCAAGTAGAAACACATGTACAAAACAATAGAGCTTGTCTATCCAAGCTCCTAAAAAACATCTACATGTGAGATCCAACACATTGATCAGAAGGTGCGTCTGACCTTAGTTGGTATCCAAGTCATCCTACATGTATCAGACATTTTGGGGCTCAACTTTGAAACGTTACCAAGATGGCTAGTACTGCAAACGCCGCACTAGAGGTTAGTTACATCATCACTATCATCATCAATAGCATCACTTTTCCCTTCACAATTTTTCTCAACGTGCTGGTGATAATGGCCGTAAAAACGAGACCACGACTCCGAACAAACAGCAATATTTTACTGGCCTGCTTAGCGGTGACGGACGCTTTGGCCGGTGTCCTTGGACAACCGTCTTATATCCTGTGGAAGATATTCCTTTTACTCGGTCTCAGCTCAAGTGAAACAGTTGGAAATTTCAATATCACTGTTAAGGCTACTTTGGTGGTTGCTTCATGCCTTCATCTGATGTTGGTAACGTTCGAAAGGCTCATAGCGATCAAATTTACGATGCATTACTCAAACATTGTAACTCAGAGTACCATTAAGATAGCAGTAGTATCAGTTTGGATTATCGCTTTCACAGCAGTAAATTTAAGATTGTTGAAAATGTATGTATTAGCACGTTCCATATGTGGCTTTCTGATTATTTCATGCATCGTTTTCGTTGCCTTCACTTCGATGATTTTGTTTCATGAAACCTGTCGCCACCAAAGGAAGATAAAAGCACAGAAACTGCCCCAAGAAGAAGTGAAAAGATTTACCAAAGAGAACAAAGCGCTTAAGACAACTGTGTTGGTAGTTTGTGCTGTTACTGTCTGCCTTCTTCCTGTTGCTTTCGGTCCAATCTCTTTAGTTGCAGGCTTTCATTATATTTCAACTATCATGGAACCATGGTGGCAAACATTTCCCTTGTTAAACTCGCTCGTCAATCCACTGATTTACTGCTGGAGACAAAAAGAAATAAGAATGTTTGTATTTAGAATAAGAAGCCAGGTTGGTCATGCAGCTAATAATGAGTGATGTGGCGTAGAGAACAAATCTTAAACAATCTTGAGCAATTTAATGTTACGACAATAAATGACATGCAAACATCGCTTTCTTCTCATTTCACTAACTCGCATGAGTTTTATTTATAGCTCTATAGGGTTATGTTACCCGTATTTTCCATCCACTCATTACAATAAACTTCTCAGCGACTCTGTTTTGGAGAAAATTAAAGCGGCATATTTTAAGTAAAGGAAGTGAAATTTTGCTGCATATCAAACCTGATTCTCACAATATTCAGTTCAAAAGAATCACATATCCTTGCCAGGAGTGATATTTACTAAGTTTTTATGCATTTATGCACCTCTGAGGAAGCAGGTTAAATCATATTCGCTTTCGTTTCATTAGAGTGTCAATGAGAAAATCAGGCCGGAACAGAGGCGATGAATAAAAATTAGCATTACTTTTTGCTTTGTTCATTTGACAAATGGGAGAACCACCTGGAAATCTAATCTACTTGATTATTCAATTGATTTATTCAGATTTGAAGCAGAAAGAGCTCTCTAAAATCTTTGGTCAGATTTCTTCCCCTCTCTCTCCTTATAGTCCGAAAAAGGCCCTAAATCTTTAAAGAGAAACCAATTCATGCCATAATTTCTAGCTGGATAGTGCGAGCCATCAGAACAGTATTAAAAGTTTTGGGGAACTGATTGATTTCTTCTTGGGAACGTGATAGGCCAACACAATTGTAATGCAACTCTTTCGAGTGATATGTCATGGAATATCCTACGAGTCACCTCTATTTCCTCGAATAACACGAATCTCTATAATGAAACGACAAAGGTAGCCAGTTTAAGTGGAGGAATTTCGGCCTGGCGTTTTTTCTTTGGTTTCTTTTCTGTTCAAAGAAAATATCAACTTCCTGATCAATCAGCAGCGTCTTTTTTGTTAAATACTCATTTTTTGCTTTGTTTGGACCTCAGAATTAATGTCGAGGGAAGCATTTGGCTCTGACATGGCTAAAGATAATCCGACCCAAGGATTGGAATATCCAGGATATACAAGTGCTGGCAAAGAAGACAAGTTAATGTATCAGTCACCGCTAAACAGATCGGCAAGAATATTCTTTGGTCAGAGACTCATTAATCGATATTTAATGTCCTATTTTAATTTACAAATCTATGCTCTAATTTCAATTACGCGGTTTCGCTGGAAATTATTTTAAATGAGTCAATATTGTGAGGAACCAAAAATACCTAATACGAATTAATATTTTACAGGCGAACTTTATGAATTGAGGTATATCGCAGAGCATTTTCACTATTAAAGTGACCTCTCAAGATCATTTTTTATACAAAATTTACAATTTTGGTGACTCACAACCTCACTCATTGCTAATAGTGTTGTCAGAAATTGTTTAAGAGAAAATTTCTTTTTGGGTCTCGTGTAAGGATATTATGGAAAATTATTTGTTTATCGTGGTTTTATACAGTTATCGTAATTTAGCGAATATAGAAAATAAATTTCAGCTAATCAAAAATTCTTGTTTCTATTTGGGCTCTGAGTCTTGCCAAAACATCTAATCACTGACCTCAAGTAGGAATCCTTTTAAGACATCCAATCAGTGGGAACTTTTCCATTGCGATACCTATCGTTCTACGGTCAGCGGATCACAAAGGTCGGACGTGTTTTCCTGAGCTCCGCCATTTTACTCGGTTTTCTTCTTATTATTTGGCGCAAAAATGTATTCTTTGGTCATATAACTTCCGGAATAGTTCTCTCCGAGCAAGAAGATACCTCTGCCTTATCTCAAGAGAAGTGGCATAGTGGAATGCGTGGTTCTTATGTCTCTATGCACTCACGTGGTCGGAGGTTTCTTGCCGCTCGAATTCCGTTGTGTCCTCGTTTTCCTTTCAAAGCAAAAGGATTGCGTTGCTGTCGTTTGAATGTGAGGTCATTACCTGTACACCTGGATGAAGTCGGGCTTTGATTCTCCTAAACAATCTAGATGTTTTTGCTGTAAGCGAAACCTGGTTGAATTCTACCTGGAACGACCATGAGTTAAATATTCAAGGTTATCAGTTATTTCGACAAGACAGAGAAACGACCGTTGCATCTAAAGCTCCAAATGGTGGTGGTGTCGCAATCTATGCTAAGCCACGCTTCACTGCCGAAGAATGACATTTTCAAATGAAACGCAAATAGAACTCATATGTTTACAGCTCAGGCAGCATGTAGTATTAGCAGCGAATCGTAATCTGGAGAGAATAACTTCGCAAACAACTTTTACACAGCAACAATACAAAAGAAGCTTCTATGAAAACGCTTATTGCGCTCTAATCAAACGGGTATCCCTCGTGCACAACCCATAACTCAAAATTAATCCAAAAGTGATTCAAATCATTTTAGATTTTACACATATCAAGAAATGTGTTCTTCAGGTCCAAAATGGTTAGGCCTCTTTAATGCTTAGGGGTTGCATTCAATAGTATTATCGCCATGAGAGTAGGATCATGTGCGTGGCTACCATAGAACCAAAGACCTGACTGTTATAATCCAAACATTAAATTCAAGTCTTAATAAGAAAGACTGTTATGGAAGTTCTCTTTGTCGTTATTTATTTTTCTAGGCACATAATGATTAAAAGAAGGACAAAAATATTCATGAAACCATAGCCTCCACAAAAGTTATAGCGCTTCTTTTGGGGAGCAAAATGGTTTTTTGAAAATTCAATTTTTGTTTAGTGCGATGAATAATGTGAAAACACTTTGGACAGGGTGACCGTTAAAACCTTTCGTGTAGTAAAATTATATAGAATTTCCGGCGTTTGAGTGGATACGAATTAGCCGGAAATGAAATATTTCTGCGGCACAGGAGCAGTAGGGACTGGGGCAGTTGAAGTGCAGCATGGGTAGAATGGAGTGTTACAAAGGGGATGTTTATTACGTGGAAAAGCATTTTAGGCCGACACCTCGTCTTGCTCACGTTATTTTGTTAGTATATATTTGATTTACTAGTGACAGTTCGAGTTTCACAAGGGTTTCTTGGCTTGTTTGCGTGTTTCCCAAAATTATTTAGAGTTTTCCGTGCTTTGTCGGATTACATGTTTAGTAAATAAGGGCAAAGACCTTCCAGCCGTGTAGCCTTCGTAGGATGGGCTTTTCAGATCATGAGCCATGGATCCTACCCAGATATCCTGCCGAATTGTTTTTTTCCCTATCGGGGTTTTTTCTGGCCTCTGTTCTGACAGTATACTGTGTTAACTGTCGCTCAGCTCTGTTCTAGTTTTTCCACCACATGTTTGAATGTAATAGAGGTTGTTGTATAACGTATTGTTACATGTGCGGTGCTCGTCCGAAACAGCCTTAATGAACCTGATGGTTTCTCTAATTCATGTGTACTGCGTAGTGGAGCCGAAATCTTTTCTTTCCTCAAGTCATTTTAATCAAATCCTATTGAAGCGGCCGTAAGTAGGCTTCTTGAAAGTTGGAAATCTTCCATGTGCTTCGGTGTGGCAATTTTGGTTTGATTTCGCATCGCCGGATTATGTTAAATAATGCTTTCATTGTGTCCCAGCCGTAGTTAGGGGGAGCTTAAAGCTTAAAATTTAAAATTTAATCAAAAATGTTCACTTTCTTTTATTAAAAGATCGCAAGTAATCGTTCATGCTACGTAGCATATTCAGCATGCGCACGTATAATTTTATTTTGAGCAAATTACAAAGTCAGTATTGTGTTTTAAGAGGCGAACTTTAGGTATTTTTAATGCCTGCGAGCTGTAGTTTTAAAGCAGGCACGAGAAAACTATTCGAAAAGCATTTGCAACATTGAATTGAAATCTCCCTATGATTTCATCAAACATATAAATTTCCCAATTTCTCAGACTTCGTCGTTTATGCAGTGACGACTCTGATTTTTCCGAAAAATCAGAGGCAATGTGCCAGTTTTTCGATAAACGTGGCTATCCTGTTTCTGTCGTCCAAGCGGGCCACCACCGTGCCCAACAAATTAATCGACAGTCAGCACTAGAAACGGCTGTTAAGGAAAACACTGACCGCATTCCATTCACTCTTACATTTCACCCCCACAAACATGCGGTTGAATCTATTATTTTTAAAAACTTTAAATTACTCCAAAACTATTCAGAGATTGGCACTATCTTTTCGCAACTCCCACTTATTTCATTCAAACGTGACAAAAACATAAGCAACTTTTTGGTCAGAAGTTCATTCCAAACCAATGACCAATCTGGAACTTTCAAATACGCTCGCTCACGTTGCAAAACTTGTCCTTTCATTTACAACGTAGAGAAATTATCGGTACCCAAGAGATCTATTAGGATCATTGATCACTTTACGTGTACCTCCGCCAATGTTATTTAATGCATATCATGCACTTATTGTTATAAGTTATCCATTGGCGAAACAGGAAGACGACTAGGTGACCGATTCCGAGAACACTTTCGCGACGTAAAAAGAAATGACAAGGACGCATCCAAACCAGTCGCTAGACACTTAAACAGCATATGGCAGTTTGCGGCCTTTCCTTACATCTAGGCAGTTCGGAAAGCCGCAAAACACTAGAACAAAAAATTATCTTCCAAATCGGCACCCTTAATCCCCACGGAATCAGCGAGCGCTTTTCATTCAACTAATTTATTCCTGTTTTCTCTTCACCATATTCCTACCAATAGCGTAGCTCCACTTTCAGCATATAAACTCACCCACAACTCACAGTTCCTCCAATCGCTCTGACGAAGGGCTAACGCTCGAAACGTCAGCTTTTTTACCCTTTACGGTGGCCAATTTACGTTTTCAACTCAGTTGTTAACACTAAATTACCTGCTCTACTCTTCCACCGACGCAGCACCACAGTTTCTTTAGAAACTTACCCCCTTTAATATTAAACGTTGTTCAATTACGTTCTTCGGGGTTTGTAACTAAACTTATCCGAGTTCAGATTGACTTGGGAAATACGCATATGATCTGTGGTCGTATTCAGGATTTTGACTCTATAGAATTACCCCTCTTTTAGTCG